CGGCACTCGTGGAACTACAGAAGCTGGGCAACCCCAAAGCCGTCGATATCTTTGCCGAGGAGCTGGTGAACCTGCACCGCGGCCAAGGCATGGATCTCTACTGGCGCGACACCCTTACCTGCCCTACAGAGGATGACTACCTCGAGATGGTTGGGAACAAGACTGGCGGTCTGTTCCGTCTGGGCATCAAGCTCATGCAGGCCGAATCCGACGTGAATATGGACTGCGTCCCACTTGCAAACCTGGTCGGACTCATCTTCCAAATTCGCGACGACTACATGAACTTGAACTCGCAGGAGTACAGTGACAACAAGGGTATGTGCGAAGATTTGACGGAGGGTAAATTTTCCTTCCCAATCATCCACAGTATCCGGACCAACCCGGTAAACCGCCAACTTGTCAACATTCTTAAGCAGAAGACCACCAACATAGACATCAAGAAGTACGCCGTGACCTACATGGAGAGCACTGGGAGCTTCCAGTACACACGCGACGTGCTGGCTATTCTGCTAGAGCGAGCGGAAAAGACTGCAGTGGCTATTGATGATGGGCGTGAGAAGCTGCATGGAGTCCGAAAGATATTGGCCAAGATGGCCGTTCCCAATCCGACCTCCTCATAAGCGTTGTTGATTGAGGAAAGCGTTTCTTTTTATTTTCTTTTCCCTCTTCTTCTTACTAATCTTCTTCTTGGCCTATCAATTTTGTCTTTTATACTGGAGTGGTCAAAGGATATGCAGATACCAGGTGGTATTCAAGCCGGACATTTTCATTAGTTCATATGACAGCGATGCAAATATGACGTTTCACTTTCTAATTTCGTTTAACTCTTCTCTTCCAATGGTTTTTCCTATATCAGACATTAAGTGTCCCGGCTAGGAGTACACTGTTAACCATGAATGTTCCTGGTGATCGTACATAAAATATGTGAAAAACAACGCTTGTAATAACTAACCCTTTTTAAACGGGCGTCTCTGGCTCTGCTTTTCTCTTCACGAGTCGAACCCATCTTCTCCGCCTCCATTTTCCTCTCCGCCCTCCCCCGTCCTCGCCTTCCTCCCAGCTCGTCTGGGGGAAACCTCTCATCGATCCCGATTTCGGGGCTTCAACGACGCCAACTTGTTCCTCTCTTTCATCGTACATGTCATAGACCCATCTCTCGCCCTCCGTCTCGACCTCTACCCCCGTGATGATCCGCTCCTCCACCCATTCCCGGCTCCAGAGATCCAACGCCCACTTCTTCTCGCTCCACTCCCACCCCTCGGGCGCGAGGACATCCTCGAAGAAGCGCGTGCCCCGCGGCCGGTCGCCGTTTATACGGGGCTGGGAGAGGGGGTCGTAGGGCGACGAGGTGAAGAGCCAGGGGTGCCACTCGCCGGCGTCGGAGACCTGCTGCAGCTCGAATACCTCCACCTCCCGGGTCTCCGGGGCCTCGTCGAGGATGACGTCCGTGGCGACCCAGTTGTCGAGCCACGACCTGGCCTCCCGCTCGCGGGGCTGCACGTACTCCTGGTGCGAGCTCGCGACGAGCCGGGTCACGGCCGGGTGGCCCATGCAGACGGCCGCCCAGCCGAGGACGAGGAAGACGAAGCGCCAGGGCATGAGGTGGGCGGCGACGGTCATGAAGACGCCGCCCACGGTGAGGAACGTGAAGACGGCCGACGAGAGGGCCTCGTTGCTGAAGTTGGTCACGGGCAGCAGCAGGGCGACGACCTGGTCGTGGACCTGGCTGAAGTCCTCCATGCAGTTCTGCAGGTCGCGCATGTTGCGGAAGAAGTCCTTGCTGAGCTCCTTGACGGGCCGCACCGTGGCCGCGGGCGCGAGCGGCGGGCCCCGCGGCGAGTACCCCACGTTCTGCTCGCTGGAGAGCGTCCCCTTGGGAGGGGCAGGGTGCCGGGCGAGGAAGCCGGGGATGAAGACGCCGAGCAGGAGGGCGATGATGGGAAGGACGGTGATGAGGTAGGGATCCAGGCAGACGAAGGTGTAGACGGCGAGCAGCGACATGGTCCGGGAGGGAATCTGCCAGGACAGCAAGCGGCCGGCGCGGACCTGGAATTTGAAGACGACGCCTATGCGGGCGTTGAAGCGGCGGAAGTTGTTGGACATTGTGGTGATGTTGAAGTTGGGTCGCTCCGCGTAGGCGGGCGCCGCATCGTCGGTGCCGTCGGCGCCAGCATCTTGGTCGGCTGGGATGACTTGCTGGAGGAGCCTGTCGGGTTGGCTAGTTAGACCGATGTCAAGTTTCGCTTCGTGATCTGATAAGAACCTACTTCTCTACCAATCGGTCCTGGATGCTGGCCTTCTCACGGATGGTTGCAAGGCCGCCCCGCAATCCGGTCAGAGGCGACGGCATCAACGATGGGCCATCGTCGCGCTTTGGGGTAGATTTCTCTTCGGGCTTCGACTCGGTGTCAGGTTCGGAATCGCTCCTGGTGTTGTCCTGGGAGGCTGCCAGGAGCTCGGTGGTGAAGTCGTCCATGGCGAGGTCGATGAGGTAGATGCGCTCCGATGGCGCGCGTTCACGTCATGGCTGTTTGACGTCGGAACGAAGGACGGGCGGACGGGCTGTCAGAAAGCATGTGAAACTCCTTCCGCTAAGGGCAACACTACTGAATCGGCACGGATACAAGCTCCCACCCTGCCATTGCCGTATATGTGGGCGCTAAAAGCTGGGGTCTCGTGCGCTAATGGCCAAACAGCTGTGCAACATGATTATTGGACTCAAGGCTATGGCTGGACAGGTTTGAAACCAACGTGCCAGGTCATGGTGTTTAATTTTGATAGACGGCCAAATCAAATCCCTTGGATTCAAATCCAAGTAGTGACCCAGGTAGGTATAGTTGAGCCTGCTGATAACCGTTGGACCCTGCTGGTTGGTTCGCGGCCTTACCCTGTAGCACATGTAACGTCCATGGTTTTGTCAATATCAATTCAGTCAATATCAACATCGTGTCTCGATATATTTCTACTGGGAAACTTGCATTGAATGCGCGCGGGTGGTCTCTTCTGCTGGTTGATCAAGCAAGCCTTTGGTGGGAAGAGCTGAGCAGATACATCAAATAGGTACGGATCTTTATACGGTCTGGTTGCTGGTTGAGTCTGCCAGCGAGGATATCTTTACACCATCCCCGCTAGGACATGAGACTAAAACCCCTCGCATTTTGCCTAAGATAGATCTCCCTGACAAAGAACAAATAACAGAGAAACAATGCCGAGAAGATTGCTCCCAATATCTGACCACTCACCCAGGGGTTTCCTTCCTGCCGATGACCGCCTCAAAAGGGACTGCGAATTGTCGGTTTGATGGGACACGCATTCCTCTTTCGGACTGCATCCCGGCCCTACGGTGGGCGGTAAGATGCGTATGGAGAATCGCGAGCGGCCCTTGTTGGCAATCTGAACTCGTGCTGGGGCAACAGCGTCGCCAAAACAACAGATGCTGCCAGGAACCTCGGGGAGAGCACGACTGATTGGGTGATATGGGGCATTGCCGGCATCAAACCCCTGCCTATGCTGTCTTCGGTGCTCCCCTTTTCTCTGCCTCCGTAGTGGTCGAGATATTCCACTCGCGTCTCCAGATGCGGTCGGTAAAGCTGCATTTCTGGCCAAGGCAGACGCAGTCCGCTTCCACCGCGCGCACGGCACGTTGAAAGCACCAATACCCGTAACGAAACAAGAGCACACCCCTTAAGGGTTTCTAAAACCAGACATGGCCTTGCTGTCCAGCATTAACCACTGAGCTTACATCCCAATGCCCTGTGTCCGCGTCTGGTGACTGGCTGTCACGCCGCATCCGGCGGGACCCTTTGCGCTAGTGGCCAATTCCGATCACCAACCGTCCCCATCGCTTTCTTTGGAGTTGACAGCTCAATTGAAGGGCCTGAGGCCGGGACTGCCAACGAACACTGATGCAGTGCCTTGCTCGGATTCAATGCGCCATGTACGAAGTAATTTTAGTCGGAGCTGGAGCGGAGTATTAGGCCGGGAGTGCTATTGATATGTGTTGACCTCCTCTTGAGATTGCTACGGGCCTGGATAGTACTGACATTTCCGTCTAGCGGTTGGCCTGCTGGTACATCAATCCCCCTACTTTTGCAGTTGCGGTAGAGGTAGCTGTCGAGTCCGCGTCGTGAATACTGGGTCGTGGAGGTGCCTGTCTGTAAGGTTGTGGTGCAAGCACCCCTGTACCTCCCCACTGAGTCCCTCTGCACCTTGTTAAGGGGTTGGGGTGACCGCTTGGAAGGTAGCCGTACGGGGGGCTCCAGTCGCCATCTATCTCGCCCCAGCCCCTGGTTTACTGGTCGACATCCCCCAAAATGGGACTGAGAGCCACTGGGTCCAAATCACACATTGCCTGTAGCGGCACCGCTCACAGACCAGCAGCTGGGACAGTGGCGCATTGATCCCTCCTTTCGAAAAACAAGCCTCCGTTCCAACTCCTGGCAATCCAGCAGCTCAAGGCCAATTCCATCTGCCACCCAACCTCGACGCTCTCGCAGCCGGTTCCACGATTCCACCTGGAGTTCACGAAGCTCATCAGGCCTGCACCCGCTCGTCGTCGACCCCGTCCGCGTCCAGAATATGAGGTAGCCGTTCGAATGCACTCAGCTCCCTGACAAGGACTGAGGCGAGGCTTTCCCTGTGCTCTGTTCCCGTTATTCGTGAACAGCGTCACCCATCGCCGAGATCTAGTAAAGGACGCCAGTCCAAGCTTCTGGAACCGAAATATCCTCACATTCTGCTGGCTCCATGACTAGGGGGCATTTATTCCTGGCTGAGCCACGCCCGGCATCTCAAACTCCCACTCGATCGTAAGCTTCTGAACTCGTGCACTTGTCTTCCTCGCCCCCACCGCGAACAATTCATGCTACATTCCCCCTTTCTCTCGAAGAGCTGGGAGACTAACCATCGCGCCCGCCGAAAGAATTGAGAAGTCTTCCTCCAACTCGTCACTCCAACCCCCTTTGCCATCGTCGAGACGAGGCGTGGCCACCGACGCCCAAATGCTCAGTGCATCATCATCCAACAACCACTCCCTATTTTCATTCAGTAGGAATGGGGAGTCTACTCAAACTGCCAGCGACTCGACCGGATCTTTCGATTTCCTCCCTTCTGTGAGCTTTGATGATCTGCAAACCAGCCTAGAGTCCGCCTCGACCGAGTTCGCTCTCACGCAGTTCCCATCCCCGACCGGTGCTGGAAGCATACTCGACCGTCAAACCGCCACACGGGACAACATCATGCATGAGAGAGCCAACATCACCCAACCCGTCAGCGGGGCATCTCGTGTCGCTGTGCCTACCGGCACCAGGCCAGGTCGGTCCGGCTCCATCCTACGCAGACCGAGCACTTCGAGTCGTCAACCTAGTGTGTCGTCTGTCAAGTCATCCACTTCTGGGATCATGGAACCACCCAGGACGTCAACAACTTCGGTGCGCACTGCTGCACGTCGTCAGAGCCATCACCCCCCGGTTTCGAGCGTGAATTCCGCGAAGCCACCACGTAAATCCATTGGTCCTGGTGTGCTGGGCGATGCCTCAAGCGATACTTTTGCTAGCGCGCAGCGAAGGCGCCCTAGTTTGTCTGCCGACAGAGGCGACACTTCCAGGATCTCCATGGATACTTCGGGCGTTTCCCTGGTCCCTTCCATGTCCCGGGCAATGAAGGCGAAATCTGTGCAGCCTCTCCAGCACTCGAGCCACGGAGGCATGTCCCTTGGGGATAACTTGGCACCCGACTCAAACCGAGCCTCGACACTGACCCCACGCTCTCCGCGCACGGGTGGACAGCTGTCTACACCTTCATCCTCCGCGAGAAGAGCGTCGATGATGCCTGGATCACATCATTCTAACCATGCACATGGACTTGGTGCCAGGACAATCAGCCCGACTGACACTCGTAGAGCGAAACGTTTATCAACGATGCCTCCTTCGCAGAATCTCTCACAGGTCCCCACGAGTGTGCCTCCTCCCCCTCCAGTATCTATGGATAATCGAATCGAGCGGCCAGACTCCAAATCTCCTTCTATGATACCGCGAAAAGCGTCTGGCACGCCATCCTCTGCTCGGACCACCCCGGACGTGAACATGAACCGAAAATCGTATAGCTCAGGGCTTTCTATCGGATCAAATCTAAGTTATAACACGGTTAGGACATCTATTGGGTCTTCCGCGCAACCACGGATCCCCCAATCCTCCTCTAGCTCCCGCTTGCCGGCTCCAAAACACGTCACCATGCATAATACCATGCCCGCTGAGGACGAGGAATTTGTACCGCCAGTCCCCGCAATTCCCAAGGCCTATGAATCCCCTGGTGGCTCACCTGCGAGCTCGCTTTTCATGGACAAGAGGCAAGTGCTTTTGAGTGGGAATGATGCCACTAGCATTCACAGTACTAGCCAAGGCAGTATACATATGCCCGTGCAGCCGGAGCCATCCAAAGTCTCACGCAGGCCGAGCCACAGGAAGAGCTCCTATCTTCCTGCTGCCACCAAGGATGACGATAAGTCTTCCACCTCATCAAGCCATAGAAAGAACCTACAGCCTCTAAGCCTGCCACCCCTTAATCTTGGTCCTCTGAATATTCCTGTAGGGAAGTCGCTCTCAATGCGGGAACCTCCCACGGCCAATAGGAATGTTAGCCCTCCCCCGTCACGTCAAATACCAAAGACACCATCGACTCCTATGACTGCTTCTAGGAGCACCTTTTTCTCGAAAAGCCGATACGACGATACTGTTGAGTTGCCCGTCCTTAGAAGCAGCAGCTCGATCCACATGTTGCATCACGCAGCTGAGACTCCGCCTCCTCTAGCAAACTCTCCCGATTCTTCTCTTATTTTCAAAGAAAGCGATTTTAAACCAAGCCTTTCTCCTTTCCTCTCCTCTTCTGCGCCTAAGGCGGGAGGCTTTGATCATACATTCCTCAAGCGATCCAAGACTGGCGAGGATTTAAATGTCACTGCGCCAGTTCCCCAAGAGCGGACTCAACAAAAACCTGCAGGACCTCGGGCACCGAAACCTGAGAAGCCCAAGTCTCCTACACCTGGCCCTAGCGCTGAGGAACCAGACACCCCCTCGTCTATGACATCTTTGAGACGTAAACTCAGCCTTTCCTGGAAGCGAGGTCATTCAAAGACGACTACCTCTGGAACAACGGGCTCATCGGATTCCAATGACAAGGGTAATGCTCAAAGCCAGCAGCAACGACAACAGCCACCCACACCCTCTCACCAACCAGCTGTCGTGAGGCAGGACAGTATGCCACCTCCTCGTATTCCAGTTTCCGCTACTGTCAACAACTTGTCTTCGAAAAAGCAGGCAAGCCCAACACCCACAGTCAAGTCTACTGGGGGCTACCTTGAATCACGAAGGCGAAAGAGCTCCGCTGCTGCTATGGGTAACTTCGTTTCCCATGACCGGACAAAGAGCGACACGTGGGGAACAGGAAAGAAGGAGACTCCTGATAGTTCCACTATGCCTACGGCACGTAACCCCTCTGTGATGCACAAGTTCTTGAAGTCACGAACAGCATCTAATCCCACGACTCGTACCTCAACCGACGCTTGGACTGCAGATCTTGATAAAGACGATCTGGCTGCCGAGGAAGAGATGAGGAAGCTTGGATCTCGACGAAAGGAGACCGACATTGCTGCCCGGACAATCGATGCTCTTAGGAAGAGAGCCACGCCCAAGGAGCGTGTCGGACCACACGAGGCAATTCGAATTGCCATGCTGAATATTTACGAACGTGGTGAGATTATAGACTACAACGATATTTATTTCTGTGGTACTCAGAAGGCCCAAAAAGTGGTTGGAGATTTGCATTCGGATGCTCCTAATTTTGGGTATGATGACGAACGCGGCGACTACACTATTGTGACCGGAGACCACCTGGCTTTCCGGTATGAAATCGTGGATGTTCTTGGAAAAGGAAGCTTTGGACAGGTGGTTCGTTGTATTGATCACAAGCTGGGTGTTCTTGTTGCTGTCAAGATTATCCGGAACAAGAAGAGGTTCCATCAGCAAGCTCTCGTCGAAGTCAATATCCTACAGAAGCTTCGCGAATGGGTACGTTTCAGCTCCCGACAATACTAACGGTATAATCTGAAGCTAATTTCATTCTAGGACCAAAATAGCAAGCATAGCATGGTGCGATTCACCCAGAGCTTCTACTTCAGAGGTCACCTCTGTATATCAACCGAGCTCCTGGATATGAACCTGTACGAGCTCATCAAGGCGCACCAGTTCCGAGGATTTTCATTGCGCATTATTAGACGCTTCACGAAGCAGATTCTTAGTTCGTTGAATCTTCTCAGCCACAAGAAGGTCATCCACTGTGATCTAAAGCCAGAGAATATTCTTTTACGCCATCCACTTCACTCTGAGATCAAAGTGATTGATTTCGGGTCTAGTTGTTTCGAGACAGAGAAGGTTTACACCTACATCCAGTCCCGCTTCTATCGCTCACCTGAGGTTATCCTTGGAATGACATATGGCATGCCGATAGACATGTGGAGTGTCGGTTGTATTCTCGCGGAATTATACACTGGTGTGCCCATCTTCCCTGGTGAGAACGAGCAGGAGCAGCTGGCCTGCATTATGGAGGTCTTTGGTCCACCCGAGAAGCATCTTATAGAGAAGAGCACGAGGAAGAAGCTCTTTTTCGACTCGATGGGCAAGCCCAGGCTGACAGTCTCCTCCAAGGGACGCAGACGCCGCCCTTCGTCCAAAACCCTACAGCAAGTTCTGAAGTGTGACGACGAGCCCTTCTTGGACTTCATTGCCCGCTGTTTACGCTGGGATCCTGACCGCCGTATGAAGCCGGAGGAGGCCATCCGTCACGAATTCATCACTGGAAAGAAACAAGTCCCGCTGAGAATCGCAAGCCGGGAGGCTTCTCCCGTAAAGAGACATAACACGATATCAGTGTCTCGACCTCTCCCAGAGCCCCCTTCGGGCGGCGTCAAGATTGGAAACACCTTGCGCAGCGGCCAGAGCCCCCACAAGCCAGTGTCTGGCACCGCCCGACGGATTTCCGGCGCCACGGCCCCCACGACAGCCAGCACAATGAAGCGAACGAGCACAAACACCAGCGCCTCTGGGATTTCTATGGGAACGAGCAGCCTTCCGCGCATCGCAGGGCGTACAGCTAGTGGGAGCATTGTGAAACCGGACCTTGCTGCGGCTGGCGCAACAGTGGCGATGGGCCGCAAAGGATAGACACACGGAATATACGAACGAAAAACCCCGTTATGATGGACAGGATTTATGACGAGCATTGCCATTCAAAGGAAGGACCCCCAAAGATACAAAAAAAGCAGACAAGTTTACGCCATGAGTCACAAGGCGGATTTGCTCTTATCCTCATGACTTGTCTGGACGCCTCAATGTACAATGTCTCATATTTTAGGCAACCCTTATTAGGCCCTTGGAATTCATTTTGTTTTGTTAGATGAACGTGGATGGGGGCGAACGCGTACAGCGGTAGTGCACTTTTTTGACGTTTTTCTCTTCTTACTATACGATCTTACCATCTTTGCAGTTCTGGGATTAGCATCAGAGCGTGCGGTACAGCATTTTTTTTTCTTCACGACCAAGACAACGATGGCCAAAGAACAACTACTGGGTAACTTGGGTTGGCTCCACAGGAACTTGAGTTTACTGAGAAAGAAAAAAAAAAAGAAGGGCCGCTACAACATGGGGGTTATCGTTATGACTCATTTTTATTTTTTAGAAAGAAGGACATGTACTGTACGTATTATAATTCACGGCCTCGTCACTAGGGGACGCCCCGTGGTGGGTTAGACGTGGGGTGGTGGCATCATCCTAGGATGTTCTCGTTGGAGGAAGAAGAATCCCAAACACCCCATTTGCATATTGCTGCATAAAATGGCAAAAGAGACTACTTCTGCTACTTCTACTTGGTCCATTTTCTTCTTGGCTGCCTTGCCTGTGTGATTCCAAGTAAATGTCACATTGTGAACGAATGGGGAAAACTTCTAGACCGTTGGAGGATTCCATCCCAAGCCGTGTGACCGTGAAACGAGGTTGCCCCAAGGGCGAATGAGAGGCGTGCTCGCAGGCAGCAGTTCATCCCAGCAGGCGTTTTTTTCTGGGCCCTCGTTTCCTCCGGTCCCCCCCTCCCCTCCCTTCTTCCTTCGTCCATCCACCCTCCATGCCGTTGTGCCATGCAGAGCGATAGGGCTGGGAAATCTGCCTTCCCCTACTGCAGTGTGCTGAGACGAATGGGGAAATAGGTACGGAGGGTTGCCATGCATCATCGCGATGGTGCTGAGTGGCTCAAGCACACCCTTTAGGAGGGGGGAGGGGTCCAGGAGGACCCTCTTTGGGAACCCGGCGAGGTGGAATGGGCCTGTGGTTGGCTGGAGGGGTCCGGGGCCGTCATTTGCCAGCGCTGGCGAATGAGAACCTGAGATCGAGGCGCGGGTGGTGGTGGAGATGGCCGGCTAGCCAGAACGGGAGATATATTTCAACGGGAGAGAACCTGGTCGAGCTGGAAAACAAAAAAGAAGGCTAACGAACGGTTTGTGTCATTCTTATATTGCTATAATTGTCTGCCTACCGTCGATAGATGGAGGAGTGATGGCGTTCCCCTTTATTGACTAAATGGGGCATCGTGATGTTTCGTAAGGCCAGATTTTGTCCGGTGGTGCCAATTGACAGGTAATTAGGTAGTATTCTGAGTACACACCCTCTCCTTCTCGCAACTCTCGCATCCCATACCTAGGCGATTGATGCGCTGGTCGAATTGGAGATGCAGGGGAAGGGGGGGCTTGGGGGCCGGGGCCGGTGATTGGGCGATGCAGCTCTTATTAACGAAGCTGCAGTCATGTTGTATTCAACTCTGGCTTTAGATTGCTAGGTAGTTTGCGTTGTGCAGGCCACTGCCTCAACTGGGGAGATAGTACTTGTCCGTTAGACTGGTTGTGTTAGTCACCGTCTTGATGTACCTGCTATTGCCCGGGCATGTATTGAGGCTTGTTTGTCATGTACCGTCTAAGTGACGGTGTGAGAATTAACGGTGGAGACGCAGAAAAATGACCGAATACCTGGCCTGCCGCGGCTCCTGCAAATCTGGCCTCACTCTGCCGAGTTCGAGATAAAAATAAAAATACATTCTTGGGTTTTAGACAAAAGGGTTCTGTGTGTCAGCGGCAACGGCATAATCGCGGAGGGCAAGCCACAAGTGTTGCAAGTTGACTAAGTGATGAGACTATACCATGGCAAAGATGACGGTGTGGCTAGTAGATCTTCTAGACCGAGCCAATGTAAACGGCCGGATGTTGGCTACATGGCAAAACACCATCTCGGATCAGTGCCCCAAAAGAAGCGGCAATGTACCGCCTTGCTCGACGGCCGGCGATCAAGCAAACAGGTCATAATAATATTACTACGCTCCCGATGGTAGAGGTGTAGTTCAAAAAGTGCTTTGCAGGCGGCAACTCCGACCGTGAGGGAAAAGCGGGCGACTGACATCAAGCCACGACCGGGGGTGCGAGGCGCAGCCGGGCAACTGGGGCTTGGGATTGGTGCTTGGCGGCCGTCGGTCAATCACCGCCGCTGCACGTTTCCCCGCAGAACACACCTCAGAGGGTCTCTTAGCACAAGGCTGAACGCATGCTCTGGCCTATGAGGTCATGTCATTGGGTCCTGGGAGAGGGATCCGAGGGCCCCTCCATGGCACGCTGTTCCAGGAATGTCTGATGCTCAATGTCTGGTCATGGTAGCAGTATTGCAAGGAACTATGGCCCGCTTTGATGTGCCGTTTCTCACACGCGAAATGCCCCTGCTCAATAGAGGAGAGTTAATGTTGACCTAACCGGGTTAGAAAACCTCAGCAATCAATTGGGTTTGGTCCAATGCCTAAGCTTGAACTGCAAAATGGTTCGCATCTCATCTCGAGCAAGCTCTTATGCTTCCTTCCCCAGTCATGAGCGTAGAGATTGTACTTCGGCTTCTGGAGGCTGGCATGTTTGCCCCCTTAGAGATGCGCCCGGCTAGTAATGACTTGCCCAAACATGCCGAGGTGCACATTGCCATTTCGAGTGACATTGGCGTTCGTCTTCATGTGTGGAAGAACTCTTTTTTCCTTCTGTGCATGACGGAATGCTACTTGATCAACGAAAGCAACGCTGAGTAAGAAGAGAGATCTGTTCTAGAACGTGTAGCGATGTGCAGGGCGCGGGCGCTGGCCCGCCTCTATCGATTGTCAAGATCGGCATCGCCTACGTTGGCGTCTGTACCTGATGATTGTTTCTGCAAGCATCCCCCCGGGCGGCATGGCTGTGCTCGAATCTCTGCCGAGGCTGACGTAGGGCCAGCATACCCTTGTGTAATCATTGCCCACCACCTGGCAGTAGTTCTGCTGAACTTTTTCTTCTTGCGGGATCCCGGGTATCTGCCTGCGATGCAACATGGGCCTTACAGACCGGAAATATTCTGATTACCCAGCGCTTCCTTCTGTCAGGACCCCTGTCACAAGATGACAGCAAGGGACAAACACCAGGAGCCGGGATGATGGAACCACAAGCTGGCAGGGAGAAGCGAGGCTCCGCTTGCGAGCTGAGCTTCTGAACAAGGGAAAAAAAATATCAGACGATGGAAATAAGCTTTACAATCGACATTCGTGTCAGGTCGGCCAGATTCAGAAGCTTGTCAGACTGCACCCATGATTCATGATCTCCATGGGAAGTAGGCCAAGGCTGACTGTAGTGTCGGAACCGAGGCTCCTTGTAAAGTTTTTTCGGGGCTGGATTGAGCACCCAGCAATATACGTTCTACATGCACCCTTGGTTCTGTATTTTGGCCCCCAAAGTCTTGGACTTGGAGTAGGTGAGATCCTCAATACGGTATTGGGTGGTGGTCCCCACAGCCCCTTCGGCCGAAAGAATGGCGAGGTGACGCGAGGAGTAGGCGATGTATCCCCAAATGCCTTCACGGTCCCCCGTGGAAATAAAAAAGCATGAATATGAATGATCTGGTGGCATGTGTAGATTCAGCTGTCGCGGTGCTGGTGTACCTGATCAGGTAATACACAGCGAGCGGAACGGGCGATCAGCGTCGATCAGGACCCTCCATACGAGGTACGGCTGGTCAGATAAGGATCTGGTAGGCACCCAATTCATGTCTTAGAACTCAGATACAGATGTATGCATGTCTAGGACATGCATGCCGCCCGGCACACGAAAATGCGAGACCTGCATGCATGTCAAAAAGTACATTGATCCGAGGCGAAACGATCTTCAGCTTGTGACCGAATGCTTAGGACTGGACCGCACTTTGCCAGCCGAGGCTTCCGTATTGGATATCGGGCAACGGCGATACACATAGCAACGACAATGAACGTAACAACTTACGGCGGCCAACGGTGGTGGCTATGAAACACAGCGAAAACATGACGGTCGGCATGCCGAGACAGTCGCTGGTGGGTGGTATCATACCCCCTCCAGAGGGATGGATGGGCGGACGCTCATAGGTCGGTCCCCTGAGCCCGCTTATGGTGAGCAATGACGGAGACTCTTGGCCATGAGGAGGAAGAGCTCGGCCAGTGGTAACGAATGTGTGCTAGTTCTATTCCCGACTTCGTGGGGGACCACGGCTGGTAGCCAATGAGCCCGGTAGACCTCACCACAGATTGGGTGACAGGAGCAGGAACGATGTCCTGCATCAAAGGGGGATCATGCCGCACATTTGCACATTTCCAATGGCGCGCATCCTGTCGCAAGCCATGACGATGTCAGGGTACGGCGCCCTGACGGATCGAGGCATTGTCGCTCAGGAAGGGAGGGCAGGGCTCAATACGAAGGCGCACACGATGTGAATCACTGCTCGCGTGACAGGAAGCGGTTGATGCAAGTTTCCGTGGTTCGCTTTCTGCGCTGCAGATGCGATCTCAATGCAGACAGAGAGTGCGACGGGAGGATCTTTGGCCGATGACGCAGCCCAGCATGAGGCCTTCAGGCAGCTACAGAGGGGGTGGGGCAGCTGCCTGGCCGCGTCCGTCTAGGACGGAGGTGCCCCAGAGGCGCCGGCGGCAGGCAAGGGAATGGCTTGATGTATAGGTGTAGAGTATTATTATTTCGGTTTTGATTCCCTTGCTGTTCCCTAGTGATAGGCGTCGGCAGAGGTATAGGTACCGCCGCAGCCGGCTGGCACGAGTCTTGTCATGTGCCGGGGTGCGCCGAGCATCTCCATCTGGATGGTTTACGAGCCCAGAGCTCTGTGCAACACCAACCCAAGCTCAATTGAATAGGATGTCTCGAGGCCCGTGGGGTATTGCAACGCTGCCGCCACCCGACCGTGCCCGGGCGTCACATTGGTGCTGAAACCGCACCTGCTGGGTTGGGGAAGAAGCTATGCTCTTGCATCGAGTCCGTCCATGCTCTTCATCGCCATGCCTGAGATCTGGGGAGACGAACCACTGGGCCAGTCATACCAGCTACCAACCATTTGGATTCGAAATCAAAGCGCAGCTTACCGAGGCTGTTCCCTTCTGAGCTTGGTCAATTGGGACAGCCGTTCGGCAATATGTCAGAAACGGGGGCTAACCAGTACGGGATCTCTGGATGTTGGAGACTAGAGAGTCGTTCGTCAGTTCGCAACCCCCCTCCATGTTGTTAGCCGTCATGTGTCTTCGACTGCCTCCATTCCCTTTACTCTTTGGCAGTCAGCCCTGCGGCTGCACATTGGTGTAGCGATGGGGTCCTGATACTGTCAATGTGCTTCCTGCACGCCCTGGAGACGGCGCACATGAGGACTCATGACTCTTCTCGCCGGTGACCATGCCATGGCCACGGCCCCCAACTTTGAATTGCAGTGGTAGGCATCATAGCCTGTGCCCGTGCGCGCGGGTGTGGAATTGGTGGTGGGGACGCAGTCGGTCGTCTTGGCTGGGTCCGCCGCTGCTCCGTGGAACCTCGTTCTCTCTGCTTCTGCTCTTTTCCCTCCCCGATCTTGACCCATGACCCAATGCGTTGTGGCATCATTTCTTGCAGTCATGAATGGCTTGGCTTGGTTGGTCCCAGGTGCTGCGCCATAGCGCGCTCACACATGCACCGCACAAGGGCCAGTTCGTCGATAGGTAAGCACGCTAAGCCTGCCCGGGCACCATTCTGTGCTATGCCTGCGCGCGAAGCCTCTGTGTTCCGCGGGCTGCCACTTCCTATTCGACTACTGGCGCCGTCCGCTTGATCGTACCTACTTCGTCCCCGGCATCGCTCTCCACCGGCAATCCACCTGCCTACCTACCTAGCAGCGATATAGTCGTCGTTATTGATCCATCTGCGTCCACCTATGGCGCCAGACGGGATGCTGTCACGGTCTGTTGCGGTGCCAGGCAGGCCTTTGCTTCCTTTTCCTCCGTCTGCCAAATCCCGAACCCATTGTGCACTTAAAACGGAGCATGGGTGCTGGGCACTAGGCTCGGTGCTAGTAGTGTAATAATAATAACCAGCCGGCACTAGTAATACGTCGTAGCAGTGTCGGAGGGCAGCTCAGCACCCGCGACAGCTGCCAGTTAGCTCTTTCTGGCCGCCGCCCACCCACTGGGTTTAGCACCTACAGACCTACGACATACCCAGTCTATGCTACTGCTTGTAGGTGCTCTGCCCTACAGCCTGCGCCACGCTCACTCCCCCTCCCGCGAGCGTTTGGAACTGCCAACTTGGCTGTTAATGGATGTCTCTCTTGCTCCATTGACCGATCCACTCCCTGCTGCTGGCCCTGCATTTCTTTTTTCTTGTATGCACTACCGGCTGGTGTATTCTTCCCTTACTACTTACCTGGCCCCCGCTAGTCACTGTCAGACCGTCCCGTCAGACCCCCCCAATGACCCATACGTACATCGCAGTATGTCGACTTCCCTGGGCCGGTGCTGCCTCAGCTTGCCCTGGCGGACCCCTGTCTACGGTTTCTGCTTCGCTGAGCTATGTGCCTTGCCGTGCCTTGCCCGCTTGCCTTGCCTGGCCTTGCCTGATCTGGGTCGCGTGAAGGCAGAGACTGGCCCTCTGCCAGTAGCTCCATCCTCAAGTCTTCAGAGTGCCTTGCCGCGACCTCACCCCTCCCCCCCCCCCCGGGGGGTGCATCTACTATGTACAATCTTCCCTACCTTACCTCCCACCTAACGGTCCTAACCAAAGGTAAAGCAGGAAGTAGATACGCAGGCAGGAGGGAGGTAGCTTACCGTTGCACCCATGTTCCTTGGTGTCTTATCTTTTTTCACGACTCGGAATGGGTCCTTGACGTGCCGGGTCCTCGACCTCCAGGCTGCAAGAGTATAAGGCTGCTGGCCTCGCTCGCTTTCTGCTAGGTCCCGCTCTCTGCCTATTCACCAATCCCATCTGCATCTGCATCAGTTTATTAGTTCCAGTCCCCGACATTCTTTTTCCGTTTTGCTCTTCATTCTGTTGCATCACTTCCTACTAGCTGGATTTGAACAATTGTCCACTCTCCCAGCACATATATCACCGACACCCTCCTGCCCGGTGACTCCCTCCAAACTTCATCCTCATCAACAACATCTCACCAGCCTCTGCTATTGAGACTACCTACACACACGCAACAAAGAACAAGAACAGCAAAGGGCTCACTGACTACAAGAGTTTGACTGACTCACACTTGACGCACCAATTGACAAGCCGCTTCCAAAAGATATAGCAAGGCCAAACCCACCAAGATCGGCGCCTTCAGCCCCTCATATCTGCCTAAGTTTGATACTGGGAGAACTGTTTTGTGACCGAAACCCTCAAAATGTGCTACCAAGTCGTTGAGTTATACTCGGCATGCAAGTGCCTGTACTACAAGCACGCCGTCGACCGATGTGTTTCCTATGGACGCAAGGGCCATTACACGGAGCAGCGAACCATCTACGTGGGATACGCTTGCGCCGTCCACACATCAAGCTACAGCCAACCGTCTGGCAACTACTCATACTCAGACTCTGGCTATTACAGCGGCCGGTCACACACGAGCTATCGGTGAAGAATACTGCCCCCGGTTGTGGGACAGCGAGGCTGTCTCTCCCCACCGTTGGTCCCCTTCCGGCTTGATGGATGGATAGGGTTTCTGAACTCGCTCAACCCATCGCAGCTTTCGCTGTTGTTTGCGAGGTAGTCATTGCCACCACTCCCTCTTCTCCCCCCTTTGGCCCAATGCTACGATGGGCTGGGGGGGAAGGGATTGACGAAATTGTCGGACCGCACGCTCACATTGGCCCGCACGAATAATGCTTCATGGGATGTCATGGAGGAATTGGAAGAATGGAAATGGAAACGACTTGAACGCGAAGTGGGCTGATACTCGCCCCTCCTCAATGCCAGGACAGGCCGTGTCTCGGCAAACAACACGGCAGGACCATGCTCACGAAGCTTTACGATGGATGTACTTTTTTCCTTTTTGGTTTTACTAACTTTGCTCTTGGATGGATTATGGGTATCTGGAGGCGAGTCATGGCCTCCCTTTTTATGACGATTTGACGGAGATATGCATAGCGTTTGGGAATTTTGTTTTCGGTCTCGGGTTTCTTCTCTCTGCTCTCTCTTTTTTCCCTTGGATTTTCCTCTCCTCATCTTTCTCTCTCTCCTCTCTCGCTTTTTGTTTTCCCCTACTGGACTTGGAAGGTGGCAATGAACGTCTACGAGGATTGATATGGATTACGACCTTCAGCCCTGCTTGGATTTCCGGTTGCCTTTGAGTAACTCTATGTCTTTCTTCTTCTCGATCTCGAACTCCTTGCTGTTTGGAAAGGGGAAAAAGCTGCGAGCCAGCTGGTATGGCTCGATGGAACACGGATTGGACGCGACCTAGATCTCTCGTCTCGACACCGAACTTAATTTTCTTGCATATGGAATGGATAGATTTGCTGGGAAATGAATGGGCTGGGCCTTGGGAGGATTTTCACATTGTTATTTGACACTGTTTTTTCTGCGGTCAATGTTTTTTCTTTGTTTGCTTGTTTGCTTTTCGACTTTCCTCTCGATTTCTAATACAACCCGTGCTGGATACGGGTGTGTACCTTGTGGAAAAGATTCATCGCCAATCGACAGAAATCTACAAGAAACAGGACTTTTTGAGCGCTGGATGCTCACAGACAGATGATACATCAATCAATCAATCATTAAAGTCAAATTCATGCTACCTATCGCTCCCTTCTATGACATGTGAATGCTGTGATACATCAATCAACCATTGAAGTTAGATCCGTGCTACTTCTGTGACAGGTGAATGCTACAATACGCCATTGCTCCCGGGCACAGGGAGTTAACATCAAAATGCCTTGCTTTCATTAATTTAGAGTGTCAATTCAATAGCATGACGTGATTTCGTCCGCCATCGTGACGGGTTCGTTAGGCAGTCGTTAGACCTGAAGTTGGCGCGGTTATTAATAGAGAGGTTCAAATGCCAAATCGGGAATTGGAAAATGATCCAGCAGACCCCCCCTGCTCTCCTTGTGGCGCACCTGATCTTTGCCACATCTGTCTCGTTAGGCGTTTTTTAAGCAGCCCCTGCTCCAAAGAGCCTGGATGGTGTAGGGGCTCAGTTGCTGATTAGCTGCGCCAACCGGGATGGGGATGGGGGGCACGGCTTAGGCGCGGTCGGGCGAATGTTGTGCCCAGGTCGAGTGGGCGCACTTGTTGGTGACAGGGCCCCGATCACGCGCGGCAAATTTACACGCCCGGCACTTGGGCTGGCGGATTTTGGGGCCTTTTGGGGTTTGGGGGGGAGTTTCTCGGTCCTGGGATCCGCAAACCGCACCCCAAGGGCGATGCTCGGGCAACTCTGCGCGCCCGGGGAGAAGGGGGATGGGGGGAACTTCTGAGCTTGCCTTTGCCCGTGGGAACGAATGTGACGGGCCGCCCTTGGTGGCATGGCCCGAAAGGATTTGCCGGGTTTGAGTCACGCGCAAACGGCCCCCAAATTCATGGGATGAAATCTTGAAAGCCGCGCTAAATGAACATTTGAGGGAGAGCAGAGCAGACAGGATGGGTGAGTTACATCTGCTCCTTTGCTGGAACCCTTGGCCCCGGTTTCCGAGCTGTTTAGCTGCTTTGGGCAGTGTGGAGCGAGATGGACCAGGCAGCACAGGCGCCTTTGCCCGGGACTGGAAGGAAGGAGCTTGGGGTTGGGGGAGTGACTACCGTTTGTCATGATTTCCTGAGCTGAGCTCTCGCCATCGGGTCTGGCAGGGGAAACAAGGGAAAGCAGGGAAGGGAGGAGAAGGAGTTGATGTCGGTCCATTCATGGATCCCTTCCCTTTGGTTGTCGGAGCCCTCGGTGGTGTTGCTTGATTAGGTCAATGCCTGGCCTCGGAGGGCTATCCACTATTGAGGTTGGGATCCGGTGGGCTGACGATGGGAGCTAGGCGACCGAATCATCTAACGTTTGGAAATTCAACATTGTCAATGGAGCGAGCTATGTTTGTTTAGTGTCGGCGAGAGGTAGGAGACGGGCCTGACGGACGATAACAGGATTGTTACGGACTAGGATGGTTGATGCAAGGCAGGTGCTGTCTGCCCTCCGCGGTGAGCACCTGCCTTGAGATCATGGATAGATATCAGACATGGGGAATGGCAGCCTCAATGGGACAGCTTCACCTGTTAGCTCCTACCGATTTTTGATCTGCACCTGAGGCAGGTAGGTAGGCCTTTAGCTATTGGAAGTTTCTCGCCTCGATTGTTTATCTCTTTCAACCACAGCAATATCCCTCTTCTTGCATCGCCTTTCTTTTCATCTTTGCCTATTATTTGATTGAGAACCGACCCCTTCCTTCAACAGCTTTACCACACACCACTCCCTGGATATTCACCTATTCCCTTGCCCTCTTTTTGCCATTACATCACAAAGCTATGGTCGACCAAACCAGGACCCTTGAGGTGTTCACCACACCCTCTTAAGCTATCAGTTTGACCAGGAGATTTCCCACGATTTTCCAGTCTCCTATACACGCTCTTTGGGTTGAAGAGAAGAACGACGCTGAGAATAGGCGTGGTAGACTATCACAGCACAGTCCTTCTTCCTATTGGTCGTATCGCGCAGCAATTTCAACATGGACACTGGTGATTTTGATAACACCCCGGCGCCGAGCACTCGGCCATCACTGGCGGTTCTGCGGCCTGAAGAAGATGATACAGGATTGTCCATTGCTTCTTCTCACCAAGCCTCGACTTCATATCGGCACCATCTCTTGAAGACAGTCACTGGCGGCTCTTTTGTTGCAGACAGAAACCTGCCTGTCCCGCCAATTCTCAGCTCGTACTCCCTCCCGAAGAGCGTTCAAGCCATAATAGATGGCCCCAAGCTCGAGAGAGAAAACCAGTCGTTTAGTACAGAGCAGCACATAAAAGCACCAGCTACTCCGCCGCCCGCGCCAATTCACGGAAAACACGGAGCCCCTCAGCAGACTCCAAAACCAGAGAGAGATGTTTCGAGTCCTCCCTTGACTGAGATGAAGCAGAGAGCTCTAGAGCACAGCAGAAATCGTTCCCGAAACACGGAGTCCAGCGTCGACAACAGTTCGACGCGAGATTCTGTGCGTCTGCCATCCACTGTTGGAAGAGACTCTCCAGTTTCAGACCAAGTGTCCATTCGAAGCGGCGAGATTCATCAGACCCGAGCTGATGGGAGTACCCCAGTTACCAAAGTGTCCATTTCCGGCCCTCGGACACAAGGCCATAATCCAGTGGTCAAGGTTCGCCCTGCCTTTGATCAAGTATCTCTATTTTCAGAAGCAGACAAAGCACATGGAGATGTTCCTCGATCTGTGGAGAAGGTTGGCCCGTTTGTCCCCGAGCTCAACAAACATTCAGAGACTTCAAGCACACCTTCCAGCCAAATTCGCCTGTACCCAACTCAGTCTGAAACCCCACACCAACAGAGTGAGAGAATCTCAAAGTTTGATGTTGAGGACAACCCAGATTTGGGTACCAAGAAGGATGAATCGCTTTCAAAAGTTCGACCTTTTGACCACACAGAATCAAAAAGATATAGCTCTCATAAAATTGAAAATGATGTCAGGCCTGTCGTGGAGTTAAGAGACACAGACGACGACCCCTTGAGGTCAAACACCTAGGAGGAAGAAAAGAGACCCATCGACCAAAAAGACCAGTCGTCTACGCCAAATTTTTTGAACAGCACAGAGCATGCTCTGGACGAGTGTGAAATTGCAAATGTCGATCATCAGCGCCAAAGAAAGCGGGTCTCGGGGCAACATTCGATTCGAAAGGACGAGACCTTCCCAACAGAAAATGAATTTGGTGCACATCTAATAGAGGTACGTGATTTTTGACGTATTGAAAAAAAGAGATGCACAATCGTTTTAGCATATCTATACGAGCCCAGCCCAGCTAGATTGAACTCAACACGCATGAACCCTGAGAGACGGACTGACAATGTGATTCAGGAACACGGAGAAGAAGCAGACTTCGTAAACCCTACGACAAAAGACAGTGAAGCTCAACATGAAGTCTCTCAATGCAATGTATTCCCTACCTCTACGGAAAACCGTCAGCATGGATGGGATACTTGCACGACAGTGCCAACTGTGGAACAATCACCAGGAGCTCATTCTATCCAGGAATGCGCTCCCTCCCAAGACACCAAAAGCATCGAGACTAATCAGCATAATATGTCTGATTGCCAAGGAGATGGGCACGAACTCATGAATATTGCAAGCGGAGAGCCCCTCATCACTAAACATCGAAATTGTCAAGGCTCTGAAGATGGAGGAAATGGCACGGATCAAGAAGGGAGCGACCCTCCAGAAAGTAAAAATGGTCATCACAATGCTCTACAATGGATCAAACAGGTGTTTCGACAGCGTGGCTCCAATGAAAGCGCCCCCACCAAATTCACGGCGATGGAGCACGATCGACGAAGGGATTCCGAGCCTTTGAGAAAGAAATCTGATCGAAATACCCTACTGACTGGAAGCACATCTCAATCAGCCAATTCCGGCACAAGCATTGATGAGGCTGGATTTACACAAGCAGTGAGTGATTTAGAAAGGCTATTTGGCGAGGCCATCGCCGTCATATCGCAGGCGGTTGAACACTCTGAAAAGTTTTGTAACCAAAGGATGCAGATTCCAGAGCAAGAGCGACTCCCCCGCGCCCAAAGCCTCGGTAATCATCAGAAATTCATAGAAGCGACCTCGAACTCTGGAGGTCGGTGGCTATCCGAGATGGAACTTATCGAGATATTTCCTCACAGGGCAGAGACTGCACCAACGAAAGACTCTACAAACAGGCCAATCCACAAGACATCTTTAGTTGTTCCAAATCGAAGATCAAGTTGGAAAAAATCCCCGTTAGGCCGTCACCAGCCTGCCAATTCTCATCCGGAGATTCCATTTCGCGAGCAGGCACCCCCGTGTTCAATTTCAGGTGCTGTGTGCGACGTAATGGAAGTAGTCGAATTTAGTCGAGACGATAGAAAAACAGCCTCAGACAACAACACTGTCCGCAGAATCACGCCCCCTGATCATCATTTGTCAGTTCGCAAGGAACTTGCTGGGGATAACGCCCTGCCAGAAAGGGATGTTGCTGGACGCCAAATGAATCATGATCATGGGATAAGTCTGCGTCATAGGTCTCATGTGAGCCTTCGAGGTCTCCAGCCATTCAGTCTTGCTCGGTCACACAAAAGGCAATCGATTGCTCGAGATTGGTCGCCAGTACGCAAAAGATTTGTCGCGACCGTTGCTTGCATCAGTACCGCACTTGTAGGGCTCATCGTGGGAATATACTCTGGGCTGGTTCCAAAGATACAGTATTATATCATCGACGAGTCGCACCTGGCCGTACTTGGAAACGCAGGCTGCTTCCTGGGTCTGGCCATTCCGACCTTCTTTTGCTGGCCATTGCCGCTTCTGCATGGGCGCAAGCCGTATATCTTGACGAGCCTGGCGCTGGCGATGCCGCTCCTGTTTCCCCAAGCTCTGGCTGTTGATTCACAGCGAATAACTAACACGGGTTCTTGGAGAGCCTTGCTTCTCGCCTCAAGAGCTCTGATGGGTGCGTCCCTAGGCTTTGCAAGTATGAACTTTCATTCGATTCTCACGGATCTGTTTGGGGCATCTCTGATGAGTGCGAACCCACATGAGGAGGTTGTCGATCGTTACGATGCCAGAAGGCATGGAGGAGGAATGGGAATCTGGCTAGGAATTTGGACCTGGTGCTGGATTGGTTCCTTGGCAGTCGGCTTTCTAATCGGAGCGGCCATCATAAACGAGCAACCTCCAGCCTGGGGCTTCTATGTCAGCATTATACTCATTGCGATGGTGCTCATTCTCAACATCATCTGCCCCGAGGTCCGAAGATCAGCATACAGACGGTCAATGACTGAAGTAAGAACTGAAACAGATATATCAAGACGTATTGCCCGCGGCGAAGTGATGATGCATCGTGTCAGGACAGGACCGAAATGGTGTGGCCAAGAAGTCTTCCATGGGGTGCTTCTATCATTAGAAATGCTACACCAGCCTGGATTCGCAGTGTTAGCTCTCTATGTTGCGTGGATTTATGCGCAAATTGTTTTGATCATCATCCTACTTGGCTCGCTCACCTCAAAGATCTATCGACTCCAATCACCATATGTCGGCTTCCTTGTTGGTTCGGTGGCGCTGGGGGCATTACTCGCTATACCTTTCCAAAAGGCTAATTTTTTCTCTCGATCGCGAGGATCAAGAGTCAACAGCAGCCGGGCGACTCTGGAAAGAAAGCTTTCATGGACATCCCATCTTGGTCGACGTGCTGTTTTTACGTCGTTGTTACCGGTAGCTGGGGGCTGCTACGCGGCTGCATCAACGGGACCCCCTCTTCATGTCAGTGTTCCAACTCTTCTGGCCTTTGGTGTTGGTTTCCTCTCGTCTCTTGCAATATCCGAATGTAATGGAATCATCATGGAAGCATTTGACACCTCTGATCTGTGCCCTGGGATGACGGGCCGCCAGAGAGACCCATCAGGGGACATTGGGAAACGAATCAATTACTCATCCTTTCCACGAGTTACTTCAGGGTACGCCATCATACATAGTTTTGCTTTCATTCTATCTGCGTTCTCGACAGCGTTGGGTGGTCTCATGACAAGAACACTGGGTCAAAGGGTCAGCTCAGGAATCGTCGCGGGAATTCTGTTTCTGCTAACGATGTCACTTTTACTCGTCCTCATTCGATTCAAGAATGTGCAAATCATCCCAGACTCCAAGGCTGAGGAGATGGAGAAGATTGTTGACGCACGCCGAAAATCTATCGCGAAGATCGAGACAATCACAGAGGAAGGACAGGACATTTTCGAAGCTGATGAGGCATGGAAACCAGCCATGATGGGGAACCCAGTCAGCGAGCTCCGTCGAATGAACGTCTTGGAATTCGGGAGCATGAGCCGATGGCAGGAGATACGCAAAAGAAACAAACTCATTGATGAAGATGCTCACCTGTGTAACCGGACCGCGCTTGGTGAGGGGCTGGAGGCACTGGATGATCATATGAGCGAGCTTCGGAGGGATGCTCATGAATTATTGAGAATGGCGAGCCTCAAGAGCCTCAAGGGCAAGCGCTCCAGACTGTTTCGTCGAAGTGATCAAGGAAGCGACAACTCCCATCAGCTAGAAATGGACAATCTAAGCAGTGGGGGAGAAAGCATCGAGCAAACTTCTGGCTCACAATTCCATGAGCGGGATCTTGGTAGCCGTACGGTCCTTGAAGAGGACGAAATTGAAGGCACAAACTCACACCAAGTGCGGGACAAGTAGATCCGAAGATGGTATATGGAAAAATGGAATTTTTGGCCGACTCTGGTGGCCAGAGAGCGTGTAGGTAAACTTGTGAAGGTCAAAGGGAAATCGCTTGTTCTCAATGCCCTATATCCTCCTATCCTCATAAAAATAAAAATACCAATAAATAATAATAAAAAAAAAACCATAATTCGTCCGACTCATTTGATTTTTAACTTTACATGCATGGGGAGTTGTGACTCCACATGCAAACCTGAAGAGCTATACATACACATGCTATTTATTCTTATGCGATCCAGTACGCCGTGGAAAGAAGGTCTTAAAGATAGTAAGAAATGAAAAAGAAACCATAACTAGGGCGATTATCCCCTGAAGTGAATCTTTACTGAATTTGGTGGTACGAATCGCGTCCTCGTCGAGTTGGGGTCACTCTCGGAAGCCATGACGACAAGGAAGGGGTCGACGACTCCCTCGGCGCAGACTGCTGAGAGGGAGGAGGAGGATGATTGGGATCGTTGCGGTGCCACCTCTGCTGGACCGAGGACCGGTGGGCGGTCGTCCCTAGGCTCATCTGGGCGGCGCGGTTGGTGCCGAGGCGCTTGGCGAGGAGGGACGAGCCGCCTGGGGAAGGGGGGTGGTCGTCGTGAGCCTGGACCTGGACCTGGGCCTGTGCCTGAGCCTGGGACTGTGCCTGAGCCTGGGACTGTGCCTGACCTGCGCTCGGGGGCCCGTAGTGGGCGGAGGGGATCTGGGTGTTGAGCTGGGGGAGGTTGCGGGCTGGGTAGGGGGGCTGCTGCTGGGAGGAGTAGTGCTGGCGGGAGGGGGGCAGACCCGGGTGTAATGCCTCTGCTGCTGCCGTCGCTGCTGCCGGGGGAGGTTGGCGGTAGGAGCGGGAGGTGGAGAGCTGCTGGCTGAAGAAGGGCTGGTGGTAAGGAGCGGAGGGGACCTTGTCCTTTGGGTTGGAGGGGAGGTAGCGCGGCGGCTGGGAGGATCCGGATGCGTTGGAGAGGGAGTGCTGGCTCTTTGAGTTGGTCAGGGAGCGGCTCGTGCGGATGGAGGGCTCCGGGGAGGGCTCGACGACCCTCATTGTCTGCTGCTGGGGGGAGCCGGTCCGGAGCATGGCGGGGTTCTGCCATGGTCTCTTGACGCCGTGGGGTTGGTTGGTGGTGTAGTGGGAGACCTGGGCGGGACGCTGCTGCTGGGGTGGATGCTGGATGACGGGCTGCGGGTGCTGGTTGTGGTAGATGTCACCGAGTGTTGGGCTTGGTTGGCCTGGGGGATCGTTCAGGGAGGGCCGTCTCGGTTGGGGGGCTATGCCCGTGGAGGCGTTGGAGGCGAGCCTCGATGAGCGCTCTCGGGTTTGGACGGGCTGGCCCGGGTTCATGGAGAACGGAGACTCGAAGACGGGAGAGAGTCCCGATGACTTCTCAGGGGGTGTTGGTGGCTTGGACTCGCCCGAGGAGCTGGCGCCGCTGCCCGAGGATGTCTCGAAAGCATGGAAGGAGCCGCGGTATGAGTACGATCCTTGATCGGTGCGGACACGGAAGGCCGGGTTTGCGGCGGACGGCCCGGGGCGCGAGAAGAGAGGCTCAGGGATCTGTTGCGGGTTGGAATAGTTTCGATCTTTTGAAGGAGGGATTATGGTGACGTTCTGGGACTGAGTAGACTTGGTGACCGTTGGAACCGGCGGCTGCTGGTGCGGCCTGGTTCCTGTCGAGATAGCAAGACCAAGTCTGCTGCTGGTTGACAATGGCCTGCCGGTGCTGGACGACAAGGAGTGTGCAGACTTGGGCTCACGAGGACTAAGGGCAGCGCCCAGTTCGGATTCAGCAAGAACCCAGTTTCCACTCTTGTCCCGTACATAGACCGGTGCATCTGATCTGGCCCCGGCCGAGGGGTGTTTCCAGAACTGTAATACATCCTGCGCCGGGTTCGCATCTTCCTCAAACTGGGTGATGTTGCTGTCCCGCGCATCAGGTTGCGTTCTCTCTGCTTCCTGCTCACTTGGAATCTGGATTCTCAGTGGAATGGGAAACTGGGACTTATTTTGGGGCTCCAGGGGAGAGACCAAGCCACTCTCCGCAGGTTGTGGCTGCGGTGGTTGGCTCGCAGCAGGAGCGAGATTAGAAGTGGGTTGATATGCCTGGCCCGCTTCGAGCTGGCTGGGTGAGATATAAGAAGGGGCTAGAAAAGGGGCCATCGAAGGTTTCGCAGGTAGCAGTTTCGACATTCGCCTTGACCTTGGAGAGGAAAATGCAGATTCGGAGCCTTCTACTTTTCTGATTTCGTGACCCGGAGGAGGAGGAGGTGTCCTTGTTCCTCTCCCTGTTGGCAAGAAATTAGGTCTGGCATCATGTTGGTGACGGAAAGGAGGAGGGTGAGGAATCTGGCTCATGCCGGGCGATGGGCGGGGTGGATTGGGGTCCCAGCGGCGGTCGTCGACATCAGAGCCGCCATTCCCACCACTCAGGTAGGCAAATGTGCTCATTCTCCTGTGGTGGTCCTGGTCATTGTGGAAGTGCTCAGGAGGAGGTGACTCTGCGCGGTCTCGCCGCCTGTAACATCTGATCAACACTATAGCGCCAATGGCGAAGCTTGCGGCAACAGCAGCACCAACGGAAATACCAGCGATTTGCCCTTTGGTGAGAGAAGGAGAACCGCCGCCGGCTCCTGCATCGTCAGATGTGCCAGTTCCGGTTGGTGGCACTGCGGCACCAGTAGATGATGTCGTGGAAACAGAGCTAGTTTCAGTTGACGAGGCAGTCGAAGAAGTCTGGGTCGTTGAGATCTCGGAAGATGTGACTGAGGATGAGCCTGAGACTGAGCTCGAGCTTGACTTGGAAGATGTCGAAGAAGTCTGTCCAGAGCTGCGTCCAGAAGATGACCAACTGGTGGGAGACGGTTTCGTCTCAGTGATCAAGGTTGTTGGCAGGGTCTGACGGGAAGTAATCGAAGTCGAAGTCGAAGTCGACTCCGATGTAGTAGTTGTCGTAACCGAAGGGAACTGAACGAAATCTCCGCTGACAGTTGGAAGAATTAGGGAGGCGGTAATGACGGAGTGTGTGGGAGTAATGGCATTCTTCTGGCCATCACAGATGTGGTAAACAGTGTCCATCGCGGTATCTGGTCAAGCCGTTAGCTACCCATGCCATTGAACCCGATATATCCCTGGCCAAATCCAAGCCTCCAGAGGGCAATCATAAACTAACCGCTTGCCACAGATTCTGAACATCCGCCAACTCTCTTTTCTGCTGCCAGGCATTGCAGAGCGCCCTCGCCCAGCGTATAAGGCGTTGCGCCGCGGGCAGAGCAGAGACATTGTAGCGAGCGACTGGCACACAGGGTGCTACCGTAATGCACATTTACAAAGGAGTTCACGCATGCTCTAGCACAGCTAGGGATGGTCGTATCGTAATCGCTCGAGGCTTGGGGGCCGAGGGCGTGGAGGAAGGTGGACTGAATTAAAAGAAGTAATAGGATGTAAGGACTGGGCACGACGGCCATTATAAAAGAGAACATCTGGAGCGAGATCGAGACGAGTTAGCATCCGTGGAAGACGGGACGTCTCTCGAATGGGTTCCACCACATAACATAGCAGCCGATATCATGATGAATGGCCGGCGAGCATGTCGATATGGCCATGGCAGGCTTGCTCATGAGACTGCAACCCGGCAAGAAGGTCGAGTTTCTTGGAGGCCAGAAGGAAGAAGGAAGAGATGGTGGAGGATGGGAGAGAGTACTATACCTAAGAAAGTAGAAAAGGAACAAACTGAGACGGCCAGCATCCCAACATGTTTCACACGCAGACACAAGGAAGCCCCAGAAGAGAAAAGGAAGTGACCGACAAAAAAAGGACGGACGGTTGCAAACAACTCGCTGGCGAAGGACAGGAGGGACAAAAGAAAGCGAGGTTCGCAGAACACCCGGGGACAGAAAAGGAAATGAGAGGAGCAGGACGAGCGGTCATGATGGAAGCTGGGAAGGGAGCGGGCGGCTATTAGGCTCGCCACGGTGTGGAGGAGATGAGAATCACAGCAGGACAGAGGCTACGGGATGGGTGACGGGCACGCAGCTATGATGGGACCGGCAGCCAAGCGAAGCGCTCACCAGCCGTCTACCGCCAGACTATGATGCAGGCGAATGCAAGGACAGGCCAGACTAACCCCCAGCCGCCGTTAGCAGGCTGGCTGGATGCCTCTTTGGGCAGACTGGGTGTCACGGCGGTGGACAAGACCAAGGGCCGGGCAAAGCAGATCGGTCGAGCGATGTCATGTCCATGTCCATTTCCATATCGGTGGGCAGGACAGGGATCTGATGGCAGCGGGTCTGATGGACGGTTGGTTGGGAACCATCCGGCGGTTATGCATGTCTGGGCTCGCTGCCATTCGCGGAACGACGCTGCACGCTCTTGGAACTGGAGCTGAGCTGCACGTCTAGGCGCCTGTGCATTGCATCCAAGCGCGCATCCCCCCGGCCATCCCCGTTTATTCCACCAGGCGTTGGGTCGGACGGGCACACGAGGAGGTCAAGTCGTGCGCTGGCCATCAGGAATAGAAAAACCGTCCTATTTTCCACTGCTGGCAGATGGAGAAGGCGGTCGGCCTCGTACGGTCGGCCGATTCTCAGCGTCCGACTGGGAGACATGCAGCTGATCTTTCCTCTACTGCATCTATCGCTGTAGAACGACGATTATCCAATCAGCTGCACGTGATGGGGCTGGCCACCCCCAACCTCCATCGCCATCCAATGGATCTCGGTCCTCGCCATCCGCCTCCAACACCTCATGCGGCGGAAAAGGAAGCAATGGCGGGACTGCTACCTGCTCTGCCTATCCGCGTTTGACAAGTTGGCTCTGGCTGCTGGGCTGTGGACGCGAGCGTCTCTGTTCTGCTATATCGATCGCTATGTAAGAGACACGCTGGCGATCAAACAACCCTAGATAGACTTAATCACTTGTGGTTGGAACTTCCAAGGATCAAAGTGTCCGGCTCTACAAACTTTTCATAACCCCCCCTGCT